AAGTAAGTTTTAATTTTAACTATATTTTATTAATATTCTCGCCGATTCTGAACCAATTTATAATCGGATTGGATTTCTCAATCCAATAAATTTATTTTTATTTCTGTTTTTATGTTATGTGATAGTCGACTGACTGAGATAGTACATAAATATATTGCTTATAATTCTTTCTAATAGAAAATTAGAGACGTAAAAGTGAGTTTGTTTGTTACTTCTTGGCGTTTAACAGTTCTACCAATCGTCAGTAAACTTGATATACTAGTATTTTACTTAATAATCGAGGGATGGGTAACAACGACCCTTTTAAAACATCACCAAAGCCTTACTGTTGTTGCCAATCCACCAGCTAAGCTTGGCAACTACTGTTGAAACCTCCTATGAAGGGGTCCTTTGTTAAGAAGTGGACAGTTGGAGCTGATGTGATAATATAAAAGCGCGCATTATTTGGGATGAATAAAAACATAGGCTACATTTACTCCCGTCAATCAACATATTCCAGTCACGCAGACGAACTTTCAGATAAAAACCAGTGATGAATTATCGATATTTTGCCAATTACCATGAATGATATGGATTTAATTATTATTCTAATTTTCCAGTACTGAACGATAGCACTATCAATCACAAAATAATAAAACTTGGTCCTTTTAACAAGTTTGTTTAATAAAATATTAAAAAGCGACTATGATAATGATAATTTGCCATCTTGTGGCTGTACTCGGGCAGTGGACATTCGAAAACTGGATAATGGCCCCTCAGACACTAGACTCTCGAGCACTCTGACACTGGACTCTCGAGCACTCTGACATTGCACACTCAGTTACAAGACAATTGGACACTGGGCCTTTGAATACTCGACTCGAACACTGGACACTCTGACACTGGGCCTTCGAATACTCGACACGAACAATGGATGCTCTGACACTGGGCCTTCGAATACTCGACATGAACACTGGACGCTCTGACACTGAGCCTTCGAATATTCGATACGAACACTGGACACTCCGACACAGGGCACTTGGATACATTCCACTGGACACTCGGACACTGCACAGTGACACTAAACAATTGGACACTGGACAATTTGACACTCGAACGATATTCTCACACTTAACACATTATGGAGGTTTGTAGTCTTCTAAAGATGATAAACAATTATTTAGCTTCATAAGGTAATCATGTGATATAAGGTTTGCAGTTATTTTAGACTTGCTTTTTTCCGTGGCTTTACCTATGTTCAATTAATATGTATCCTATGTTTTAATTTAGAGTATAACTTAGCCATGTAGCAAATTTCATTCAATCGTGTAACAAAACATCCAACATAATACTAACATGCACATTTTTATAAACTTGCATATTTTTTAATAATATTAGTAGGATTAGAACTAAATTTGAAATTCGAGTAATTTTCTACATGAGAAATATCTATGTAATTTCTAGTTTCGAATCTTTAGAAAAATCTGTCTCCAGAAAGTATTTTATAACATATTCCTTCTATATTTCGGAGACATCGGCTTTTCCGGGGATTCGAAGTTGAAAGCACAGTTGAGAGGTTGACCGAAATAGGGCCGGGGTCGCACCTGCTGAAAATAATCCATTCGATTTGAGAATCGAATCAAATCCTAGAGACCTATTCCAACCTAGTTCTATATATTTTTTTATATTAAAAGTTTTTGTTTACAAACTTTTTTATTGGTCACTTATTTATTGTCCTCTATTTCGTACACGCAGATTTTTTAAAATCTTTTGAGTATGAAAATCAATAAAAAAGATCACTTGTAGATAGCGTATCAAGATTAAACACAACTATTATACCAGATTTTAAGTTAGACCTTCAGAAACAATTGTGAAAACTGCATCCAGTTTACTTTAATAGTTTTTGTGTGCTCCTGGAAAAGTACATACAGGCAGACAAAAATTCTAAAAATTATTGTTTTAGACTTCTCATGTAAATATCTCCTAAATGTGTCCCATATACAAACATCAGCTAGTTACAATTTTATTATATTAGTTAGATTATAGTTTACTAGAAAGGCCCAGAAGGTCTTGACACTAAAGGGCGAAACGAAACGAAACACAAGTCAGTGACAGTCAATATAACTTCTTGCTGTGTTTAAAATACACATAAATACATTCTCAGAGCGAATAAGAATAGAATAGAATAGAATAGAAATCATTTATTCAAATAAACTTACATTGAAGCACTTTTGAAAAGTCATTACATTTTTTTTAATCTACCGCTCGTTCGGAAAGCTGTCTCATCACAAGAAGAACGAGCAAGAAACTTGTGTGTTGCTCTTTTTTTTTTTTTTATTAATTAAGATAAATTAAAATATTCAGGCAGTCAATATAAAACTTCTTCCTGTGTTTCAAAATACACGTAAATTCATTTTCAAAGAGCCGAATATAATATATTTAAATCCTTGGACCCAATTTAAGATCAACATAGGATCCAACCAACCTTTTACCCATTTGTTAGAATTCAGTTACTCTGTATAGCCAGTTCTGGTTCGAAAGGTTATAAAATAGAAAGAAATATGTGTATTGCAAAAAGAAGTTACTTTTAGCTGCCAAAAGTATGTTTTATGTATCTAATGTTGTTTACGATGTAAGTTTTCACGGACGTTTATAAGTTCAATCCAAATTTATCGGATGTTTTTATTCCGGCGAATAAATATAGCAAATATTTCCTTTTTGTGCTCCTTAATATTATGGCGAATTAGCTGACGTCATGTCAGGAAACTGTAATATACCATAATAAATAGACACTCTATTCAAGTGCCATAAAAGATCTTAAAGACCTTTGAACATTTCAAGCCATTTAGAACCATTCGGTGTGAACATTATGTTCTAGAGATGGGTAATACCGGTGTCACTCCGATATCTATATTTTGATTTCCTCTAGATATTGATGGCAGAAATGGCAGATATCGCCATATGGTCCCGGCATAGAATATGCCAATATGCCCTTCCTTTTCCGTAGGTGTTGTAAGAGGTGACTAAGGGAGGCGTAGAACTGGCCGCAGTCTCTCTTAAAACATCTCCAAAACCTAACTGTGGCAACTACAACAAAATCTCCCAATGGGGATTCTTATGTTCAGCAGTGGACAGTTAAAGACTTAATATGATGATGACGTAAACAGAAATAAACGTCAAAAATCGCCCATTACAATACCGCTCATACCAGTAAGGTTAATTCAAATAGTTTTTTAATTTCATTATCATCAGTCGTTAACTGTCCACTTCTGAACATAGATCTCCCCATATTGGGGAGTTTTGCTCTTAGTTGCCACGCTTGGCAGGTCGGCAACCGCAGTTAGGCTTTTAGAAACGTTTTAAGATTGACGCTGCTGCTCATCTCTTTACCATTAAGTTCCCTTAGTCGCCTCTTATGACACTTACTAGAAAGGGATCATAAGGCGAAATTTGTTTTTTTTTTTTTTTTTTAAATTATTTACGTTAATTCTGGTAAGTTGAGATAGTGATATAAATATTTGAGCAGCCTTAACAGTCAGCCAATCTGATTTACAACCTTTTTACATATTTTTATTATTATTATTAGATATTTATTATTATTAAATTATTAATAATAATACTATAATTATATTATTGCATAAAAATATTTATTTCGATATTATATATTGAATATCCACTGTGTAATATAATAATTTATTTATTTATTCTGAATTAGGCACACCAACAGTATACATATTATACATAAAGTGATTAACATTTTTTGTGTACAATGCTGATATGCATACCTATAGCAGGCGTACACAACATTGACTGATTATATGTATATAAATGTCATAATATAATTAATATAATAAATTAAATTTACAATTACATATTCTTTATTAAAAAAATTCAATTCAATTAAATATAAATCAAGACTGGACAATATCATCAAATCTACATGGTCTTCAGTATCTTACCGCGAAACACTGCCCATGCTGCCCTATTGAACCAATAATTATTGGTTCAATATAAAATAAATGTAACTACAATACTCATACATATATAGCTATTTTCATATATTATCCACCCTATGAAGTAACCTTTCAATAAGGCTTTTCAGATCACAACATAGTATATGTACATTTTTGCTTAAAAAATTACTTCAATCATGAACGAACGCCAATGAATGATGAGATATTTCGTAGACAGCTTTGACTAGATATTTGAATTTAGAACGCAAAATTGCGTGTTTACAAATATGTTTTGCTTGAAGCAAACAGTGTTTACTCCGCAATAATAGGAGCAGCTTCAATCATTACAAAATTATTATAACACTGACAAAAAGGGAATACGTCAAATGTCAATCAATGATCGATTGCAAAGAAATTATTTATGACATTTAGATTAGCAAACAAGCTGACGACCCGCCTGGTAGAAAGTGGCAAGTTATAGACACCTACAGCAGTGTGGTCATTAAAGAATACATTGTACCAGTGCGACACTTTATACAAAAGTCGTCTGCTTGGGTACTTCTGTTCCATTCGTGTTTCTGCCATGAAGCATTTGCATTGCTGTTTTTTCATTGGCATATCCCAACCAATGAAATTGCAGGCTACAGAGACATAACACCTTAGTCTTCAGAAACGGCAACTCATGAAGAGTATCGTGGGCGACACACTATACTCTGTTTTATCTGTGGTACTGTTCATGTCTATAGGCCACAGTTACTGCTTTCCATCAGGTGGGCCGTTAGCTTGTTTGCCATTCTTAGTTGCATTAAAAAATGCTCTCATGTATTGCCTCTCCTGAGAACTTCGAAGCTAAGCCTTTGTACCCTATAATGAATAAAAGTCGGTTTGAAATTGACACCATAAACATACATCGACAAATTCAAGCGAATTGAGAACATTCTTCTGTCGGCAATTGCTGAAAAAAAAACTTTTTTTACTTACTCCGTGGTTCGAAATTGATCTGTAATATAACATGCGTAAAGACTAATTTCAAGTATAATGTTTAATGTATTGCATTTTTTTTTTCAGATACATTCTCTCCCTTGCACTAGCTGATCTACTAGTGATCATCACGTGTGTCCCCTTCACGTCGATAGTGTACACGGTTGAGTCCTGGCCGTGGGGTGACACAGTATGTCGGGTGTCAGAAGCAGCGAAGGATGTCAGCATTGGAGTATCAGTGTTCACGCTGACGGCTTTATCAGCTGACCGGTACTTCGCCATCGTAGATCCGTTGAGAAAATTGCACGGTACAGGTTAGTGCATATTTTTTAGTAATTTTTGCAAGTGCAACATAATTTTCTATGTGGTTCCAAAATTAGAATACACTACCCCTTCCTTTCCTGTAGGTGTCGTAAAAGGCGAATAACGTAATGGTCAAGTAATTATTTATTAATATATATATATATATATATATATATATACATTGTTAATGCATTTATAAATATTGTGAGCAAGGGTGGACTTATATCTGACAGAGATCTCTTTCAGTCAACCCAATGCAGTTAGAAAGCATATTGTTAGCGGGTAGCTGAAGTGCTATGTAAATGCTAAGCAATGTCCCTCTTAAAATATTACCAAAGCCTAACTGCCAATTTAGTTGCCAACCCGCAAAAATTATGGAGAAGGCCTGTGTTCAACAGTGGACACTTAATAGCTGATATGATGATAATGATGATGATGGTGATAAACATATAATTATCTTTAAAAATAGAGTTGTCACACATCCTATATTTATAAGACACGATAACATAGAACACACGAAATTTCCTGTGTAGTATTCGAGTAGTGTCTTGGATATAGCATTTACGTCCTTTACTACTCAGAATCACGAGATCAATATAATGTAATAGAAACGAATAAAACGCACTCAAAAAGTCATATACTGGCTTTAATGTTTATTACGCATTTGCATAATATATAGTTTCTGATGATAAAAGTAATTAACTCTTATTTTTTCCCTAACTTTAGATATTATTTTACACAATAGCATTATATAATTTGTCTTGTACATACTCTGTAATATAAAAATTTAATATTGTTCACTTAAATTCTGAATGAATAACCTTTTTCTTAAATGAATTTAAGAAAAAGATTTAAAATATTTAATTTTAGAACCACTGTAGTGAATTTTTATTCTGTTACTATTCTATTACTCTGTAGTTTAACAGCAAACAATTAAACTACGCTTGGCTGCACTTATTTTATAAGGGTTTTCATTCTGAAATAATTTTCTTCAAGTTAATTACAACTTCTTCTACTTAAGCCAATCACAGACGGAATTATAGTATGTATTAATATACTAAGCTTTTTTTTTTTATACAACTTAGAATGGCAAACAAGCTGACGGCCCACCTTTCACTTTCCATCAGGTGGGCCGTCAGCTTGTTTGCCATTCTAAGTTATAAAAAAAAAAAAAAAAAAAAAAAAAAAAAAAAAACCTGATGGAAAGTGGTAACCGTCGCCTATAGACATGAGCAGTACCATGGACATAATAGAGTATACTGTTTCGCCCATGATACCCCCCATGCGTTGCCATTCCTGAGCACTCAGATGTTATTCCTCTGTACCCAGTAAATTCACACCATATCCCACCCTTCAAACCGAAACACAGCCATGCTGCTTCACGGTAGAAACAGGAATGGGACAGAGGTGCCCAAGTAATCGACTTTTGTACAAAGTCTCCCTCTGGAAAAGCATTATGTTATAGCAACTGCCACAGAACCAACTTCTTACACCCCTAAGGGGATAAAATAGGGGATGAAAGTTTGTATGGGAGTTTTATTATAATTGAAGCTAAAAGTACGAAGCTTTAATTTTAAACTTCTGATTAGAAATAAATACAACATTGTTAATGTTATTAGAAGTTTCACACTTAAGATGAAGAGAGGGATGAAAAATTGTATATGATTTTTTTTGTAATTAGAAATATTTAAGTGTTTTTTAGACCTTTGATTAAAAATAAAAGGTTTATTAGCTGTTTTTTTTTAATTCTATCTCTAAGAGAGTGATGTAGGGAATAATTTCTTTTACACGAAAGTTTGTTCGCTTTCCTGATTTAAAATTATCAAATTTATACAAATTTGTTCATTTAAATTTAGGAAAACGAAGTTGTTTTAGTCTTTTGCTAATAAAAAATATAACATGGGGCTTTGCAATATAATTGAACTCGAAACAGACAGAGCCACGGGAAACAGGTATAATTTATAAGACAGAGACGGAAAAGTGATTCTCGCGAGAAATCGAATGTCACACGCGAGCGAAGCTGCGGGTAAAAGCTAATTTAATATTAAAAATTTTAATGAGATTTTACTTGTTACTTCACACATTTGCATTATGTAGGCAATGTTTGGTATAAAGAAGAACATAGATTACTTTTTATCATAACATGGATTATATACTCGTACATATGTATTGCTATTAAATTAATGAAAAAAAAAACGTTTATAATCCACATATTTGTTTAAGTAATAACAATGACCGTGTAGTCCCGGTATAAAAATGGCCACCCCTCCTTTTCCGTGGGTGTCGTAAGAGAAGACTAAGGGAACTTTATTAAGTTCCCTTAGTCTTCTCTTAGTCGAGAGTTGGACAGCAAAGTCCTTGTTTGAACATCACCAAAGCCTAATTGCGCTTCTTAAGCCACCTGCCAAGCGTGGCAACTACAAAACCTCCTAATATGGGGAAGCCTATGTTCAACAGCGGACAGTTAACGGATGGTAATGTAATAATAACTTATTTTAATGAAAGACTTAATTAATACTTAATTAAAGTTAATTTTATCACAGACGATTTAACATTAAGTATTTAAAATTGTATATTTATATAAAAAAAAACAATTAAAAAAGAATATTTAAAATTAACTTTTGCTGAAATGTTACTTCATTCGAAGACAGTTCAGTTTAACTACGCATCAATTTATTTACGTAAATATATTACTGGGGAAAATTTCAATTTTAACACTTGCGTTTGATGTGGTAAACGTTTAAAGTATTCAACGGATTTTATTACCAGCGTGTCGAAGTTACAAAGTGAAATAATGTAGTTTTAAAATATATAAGTATCATAAAAATATTGAGCAAACCATCAAAAAGTTGTGTTAAAAAATATATATTAACTGCGGCTTGCGGTTTTCCTTTTTGCCGTATTATTTTTAACCAGTTTCACACACGAGGACTGTCTCAATTTTAATTGCGCTACAACTTCGCCATTTTTGTAGCTGTTTAGATAATTACTTATGATTATTTAATATAATCTATTCCCGTATTAGTTTAATGTTTATTTATTACACATTTTCAGCCGATTTTAACAAGAAGGAGACGCTCAATTCGGTTGTATTTTTTTGTATATTTATTACGTCATAACTTCATCAGTTCTAAACCGACTTGGAAAAGTACTTATTGTTTTTGTAAAAATTTTATGAAAATCGGTTTAGTTGTTTTTAAGTAAAAATAACTGTCACAATTGCAGTCCCTTTTTTTGTTTTTTTTTTTTTGTTCAATTATTCATATATCAATTTTCTTTTATATTAATGTTTCATTTAAGTGAATTAATTTACCTAAGAATAATTGAACAGAAAAAAATACTTTCGCCTCGAAATCGGAAACATGATGTCAATGCATCGGTCTACTCGTAACCATGGCCGTTGTAACCTGAATGCCTACCATGAATATTTTTCGAAATTTCATAGCTGAACGAATCACAAATTTAATGTTAGAATTACATAATACATACCGTTTAAAAATAATAATTTTAAAATATCGTTCCTTTGGCCTATCATATGTAGTATACCTAGGATTTATGATAAACAAAACGTTAAGCTCCATTTACTGCGTTGATTTCGGTATGAACAAAAACACAAAATTGAGTTTGAAAATTCGCAATTTCATTTCATGGTAGACGAATACTTCCAGATCGAAATATCAAGATAACTCAAGTATATAAATATATAATTATAGTTTATAACGTTTTTCCTCGTCTCATATAAACCATGCGACGCGAAAGTCCAACTACTATCTTTTTTTTTTCAGAAAAAAGAAAATACAATCTTAATTTATTTAGAAGTGCGTAAATTGATTTCTAGCACGTAGCGACCAAAATGGTTCCGTGCTTGTACGATATTAACTTTTCTATACTATTAATTCATTTCTGCTACATCACGCCACATTTTGTCACTTTCTGTAACTTGAACGTATATATATATATATATATATATATATATATATATATATAAGTTAGAAAAGTATATATACAACACCATCTAGTCTGAAACTGAGCAAAATTTAATACCAGAGAAAAACTTTCTACAAAAATAGTTTACTTGGGTAGATCATCATCATCATGTCAGACCTTAACTGTCCACTGCTGAACATAAGGTTGCCAGTAGTTGCCACGTTTGGCAGGTGGATCGGCAACGGCAGTCAGGATTTAGAGATGTTTTAAAAGAAAGGCTTTAAAGATGTTTAAAAATCCTAAACCGTAAATTTGTAGCTATTTCACAAAAAAAATTGATATTTTTTTATGGAACCCTCGTTACGCAAGTGCCATTCTCACTTGACCAACTCGCACTGGACCGGCTTTTTATTTTAGCGTTTATAGAAATCGTACTAAATCGATTTAATGTAAAATGATTAAAAATTGTTTCGTAACTTCGAATTAAAACTTGTTCAATTAAGAGAACATCTAAGCCTGTATACATAATTTTTGATCAATGACTTCTATAATTGATCATCCTACATTCGTTTCTTTAATCCTCTTAGGTATTTAGGATTACAGCAATATCTTTCTTTAATAAATAACAAAGACAATCGAGCATCGTTACACCTGTGGTCTAATTTAGCTTCTAAGACAACTGACAAACTGAGCTTGTATAGGATCCAACGGGATCGTGAAAGGAATGTTGATGTGTGAGACTTCCACTGTCTTAAGCTTTAACGAGAGTAGTAAGTTAGACGCGAACAGCGAGTAAAACACACATTTGGAGACCATTGCAAAAATTTCAGGGTCATTTATTTATTTATTTAACTCTTTATTGCACCATATATAAAAATATACAACAACAAGTGAATAATTTAAGTGAAATACGGTAATATTAATACAGATTGAAATATACACATAAAGGTACAAAAGGCGGTCTTATCGCTAAGGCAATCTCTTACAGACAACCTTTGGTTAAAGGAGAACAGACAGAAAAGGGCAGGTGGCGCAAGAGTGAATTAATAATTTTTCATGCATAAAATACAAAAACATGTAATGC